CTGAAGCGGAGGGCCCTGTGGGGCCAGGGCACAGGGCCCGCGATCGAGCCCGACGGGACGACGACGGCTGGGTGCTCGTGCGCGGAGGGCGCGGCCAAGCGTCTTCCGTTTACACTTCCCAGGCGGGTGGTCAGCACGTTCCCCATCGTGCGCGCCCAGAGCCTGGTGGACGGCTGCCTCCTCCAGGAGGTCGGCTCCAACCGCTTGGTTGCCCAGCAACTGACAAGAGCGGCTCAGGTCCCAGTCGAGGGGCTGCAGGCGAGACGCCTCAAAATCAACTGGGGCAAGACGGGATGGATCGCTATGTCGACCTCGCTGTCGGCCTTAACGAGGGCTGGAAGGACCTGGGGCTTAAGCGGCACACTGGGCTCAGGTGCTTGGGCGGTAAAGGCAACGACGGCAGCCGTCGCAGGGTGCCCAACCGGAACAAAAGGCTGGCCAAAACGAGTCGGGCTGCTTTGAGAATTGAGCTGCTGCAGTCGGCAGGGGTCAAGACCTGCCAGCTGCGCCGTTACTCGCCATGCGCCGCGGCTGTGTGGGGCTCAGCCATCACGGGCATCACTAATGGACGCTTGAACGGGATGAGGGTGCACGCGCTGCGTTCGAAGAGCCGCCTGGCGCCAGAAATTACCCTGAGGCTCAAAATGAGGACCATGTTGACGGCGAAGTTCTGCGACCCAATGGTGGTGCACAACGTGGAGGTGTCCAAGGCGTGGGCAACGGCAATGAACGACGGCCTCGTGAGCAGTGCAGTCCTCGGGTCGTTGCACCAGGCGGCTCAGGACATCCTCGGGGCCAAGAACCTGTGGACGCTATGCGCTGACCCAGCCCAGGCAGCCACGCTCTCGTTTGCGCGCATCGGTTGCAAGATTTTGAGATACGACTACCTCACCGACCATCGCGGCGTGATGTAGACGTGCAGTGTTGTTTCGCCTTGGTTGCTGACTCAGGTCGCCAGGCAGGCAGCGTTCGCAACTTCGGATGTCATGGTTCTCCGTTGGATCAAAGCTCTGTGGCCCTCTGAGGTCCATTGGGGCCCCGTGCTGACGGAGTTGATCCGTGCCTGCTCCGAGATGTGGCGCGAGATGTGCACGAGCGCTTTCAGGCTGGTCGACTGTGGGGCCCACTGGTGCCAGCAGCGACCATTTGAGGCTATCCAAGCGAGCAGCCCCCTCTGCAAGCAATGTGGGGCCAACGCACCCGTTGGCATGGTGTTTTTGACTGTCCGCGCACCTCCGTCATTTGGCGGGAGGGCTACCCGCCTGAGGCTCCCAGGGCTGCGAAAGCCATAGCCGCCATTGGTGATCAGTGCGCTGAGTGGCTTGCGGGAGGCATCCTGCCCTCTCCAGACCATGTGTTTGGCCCGGCTTAAGTGGATGAGGCGGACCAGGTGCAGGTTCGGTGGGTGTGCGCCAGGCTGGCAATTCGAGGGGGAAGTTGTCGTCGACGGCGCAGCGTTGCGCACCCAACATGGCGGCCTGCGCAGAGCGGGCTTGGCGGCGGCCAGTGGAAATTACTCACTGCGTGGAGCTCCCCATATGCGCATCCTTTTGAACAGCAAGTACTCTTGTATGTGGGATATTTAAATGAGCGTCTAGCCATATGAGCCATTTGTGCATCTCATATCACGAGGAGGGAGAGAGAGAGAGAGAGAGCGAGCAACATCCCACGGTTACACAAGCTCTGCGCCAACAACACCTGGTCACTCCTCCTTGGCCGCCGTACGCAACGGGGAGAGCCACTCGGGACACAACGCAAAAGCAGAAAACAAGCAAACCGCTCGAGACATCCCCACATAACGGCGACGAACGGAGCCGTGAAGGCACCCTTGGCGGCTCCCCGTAGGGGTGCTGAAACCAGCGCCCCGCCTGAGACAGCCTCACAATATGCTCTCCAAGCGAAGGATGTTGGGACAGAAAACAAGCAAACCGCTTGAAATATCCCCACAAAGCGGCCGCGAACGGGACCGTGCCATACCTCTCGGCGGCTCCCCGTAAGGGTGCTGAAACCAGCGCCCTGCCTGAGACATCCTCACAATCTGCTCTCCAAGCGAAGGATGTTGGGACAGAACACAAGCAAACCGCTTGATACATCCCCACAAAACGGCCGCGAACGGGACCGTGTCATACCCCTCGGCGGTTCCCCTGAGAGGTGCTGAAACCACCGCCCCGCCTGAGACATCCTCACAGTCTGCTGTGTGTCGAGTAAGTCAGGCAAAGAGAAGGTCTGAGTATGAGTAAGTTTGGGTATGAATGAGTCTTAGCATGAGTAAGTCTGAGTATGAGTGGGTCTGACTATGAATAGGTCAGAGTATGAGTAAATTGCTATGACCGGGTCTGAGTATGAGTAAGTCTGTGTATGAGTAAGTCTGCGTATGAGTAAGTCTAGGCATGCGGAGGAGGATGAGGAGGAGAAGAAGAAGGAGGAGTAGGAATCGCCAACATACTAACAATAACCCCCTCTTAGGATATGGGTAATAATGGTGACAACTTCCGCTGCGCCATGTACGGTGCCGTTCCATTGGCTTGGCCCCTCAGCCAGAGCTCCATAGACGCTGAGGGTTTTGCATTTCACATGCTGGCTAAGCTTTTTTGTACTGCC